AGTCACGGAAATATCCCGAGGAACAGCGTACATGCAATGTATGGTAGAGCAAAAGAACGATAAAAGTAACTGAAAAAAAAAGCATCAGATCAACAGAACCTAATTTGAGATTTAAAAAAATTAGAGAAATTAAACGAAACAACAAGAGTCCAATACGTGACTTCTCTTTTTTCCTGATGAGCATAGCTAGGTCGGTAGTGGCTCCGCTAAGCCAGGATCAAGTCTATAACAAACCTCAGCCCGGAGTATCTCAGCTGAGGTAAACAGTGAGTCTTAGGGGAACACTAATGGGGGAATAAAAGTAATACCCCACTAGCCGGCAAAGACAGTAGCTGTCTCTTCTTTCCCCCCCTTCCCAGGATGACAATGTCGGGGTAACCCAGTAAGATCTCACCTGGGTCCAGCTTGCTGAACAAACACAGCCGTGTTTTAGAGTGTGTTCCCGCCGTTCAAGGCAAATCCGAGGGGGTCATTGGGAGACGAGGCAGCGATTTTTTTGCCGGAGTAGAATGGCGTTGAGGTCGAGGTGATCGGGTGTTCTCGTGCGGCGCGGCTGGGTCCATCAGCTGTCGTAGGCAAGTCGTCGCCTCTTCCGGGTCTTGAAAAGATTTTTGGGAGCCGTCTGCTGCTTGGAAGCGGAGGGTGGCCGGGTATGCCAGGGTGAATCTCACTTTCTTTTGAAAAAGCATAGAACAGATGCTACTGAAAGCTTTGCGTTTCTTGGAGACTTCGGCTGAATAGTCAGCGAACATAAGGAGGCGGTGGTCATCAAGGGTAAGGCCTTTATTGTTGCGGAAAGCCTGGAGAACCGCCATGCGGTCATTGTAGTCCAGATACCTGACAATGATCGGTCTCGGCGATTTCCTTTCCGGGATCAAGGGGCCCACCCGATGGGCACGTTCCACTTTGCAGATGGTGTGGATCCCAAGGATGTCAGGTATGTTGTGGGCGCAGATGCTTGCAAGCTGGGAAGGGTGATAGGATTCCGGGAGACCGATGATGCGGAGATTGTTCCGTCTGGAACGATTCTCCAGGTCCTCTACCCGGTCCATTAGATGTTGGATGTTATGTTGAGCGGCGGTCATTTGGGAGGCTGTAGACTCACTCCCTTCCTCTAGCTGAACGATGCAGTGTTCTGCCTCTGAGATCCTCTGTGCTTGGTTGAGCAACTCGACCCGTAGGGCCTGAATGCCCTTGGAAACTGCCTTAGCCACTGCATCCTGGATCGTAGGACGCAGTAATTTAGCAACCTCAGCTGCTATCAGGCCATGTTCAGGGATCTGTGTGCGATCTTCTTCCGAGGACGGGCTTGCGTACGGAAGAGTGTGCATGGCAGCCATCTTTAGAGTTGTTTGGGGCCTCCTGGGTCTCGTCGGCGTGGATTTGCTCCGTGGTCCGTTGCGCTTTTTTGCCAGGAATTTATCCATGGGCGATGCAGGAGAAAGTCTCAGCGGGGTTTACCCAAGAAGCAGGGTGGTAATCCGCGGGCTGAGGTACGATTTTATATGCCGATTAAGCCTGTCTGTGCGGGAGCTCTCATTCCTGCGACCGCTACATCAGGCGCCGGAACCGGAAGTTCTCGCCCCATTGATTTCATTGGGGTGACACCTACCTGGCAATTACAGAAAAAAAGGTACAAGTTGCTATGCTCGACGAGCGGCTGTTTTAGCCGCGTTCGTGTTCGGAAGCACTGGCGGAATCGCGGCGGGAAACCGTGCGATCTGACCGGCGCGACTGGGGTGCCATTACAAAATAATGGCTCCCACAGCACGATCAGTTCACACCTTGGCGACTCCTGATGCGGCAATAGGCGATTGCCGTGAGATGTCGCCTGGGTGTGAACCTAGTCTCAAGGGAATTTACAAATAGCTTAGTGAATGAGGTGAACATTTGCGTTGCAGAGAATACCCAAACGGGAGCAAGGAAAATAAAGAAAAAACAAATGGTATTTTTGCTTGCACATGACTGGATAATGGAAGCCAGCAGAGCTTCCCCTCATTCACTAAACTAAGGGGAAACCTCCCCTGCAAAGTGAACACCCTTTTTGCCTTTAGTAAGTCAACCCCGTAATCTCCACAATTGGGAAGGGAGATAGAAGAGACGATAGAAGAAGTATAGATTTTGAGAAAGCTGGTGTTACATACCTTCTGGGAGACCGGATGTGAGAGGAGGCTTCCCTTGCACCTTGTGTCCTGGGAGACTCTGAGGATGGGAACAGAGCCCAGCGGGACAACAAGTGGCAGGAGTGCCAGTGGTGTTGAGCACCGTGCAAGCCGTAATCCTATGAGACGAGCCGAGGTCAGGTTCCAAGCGGGCAATTCCAGTACAAAAGGGGTCAGGCAGAAGAATGGTCAAATAACAGTTCCGTGGTCAAGGCAGGCAGAATTCAAGGTTCGTCGAGGAAGTCCGGGTCACAAGGATCAAGCAAGATATCACAAAACTGGAACAAGGATTAGCTGACGATAAACCAGCAACATGGTGGTACTGCTGCTGGGTTTATATAGGGCCAGTGATGTCATTTCCTGTGCGCGGCTATGGCGCATTTTCGTGCTGGTAACCTACTGCTTCTGCACATGCGTGGGATGGCTCGTTCCCGAGCAGTGCGGGAACGTGCAGGTTGCACATGCGCAGATGGCGGGGATCCGTTATAGCCGGTCGGGTGTCCAGTGAAACGTCCTCAAGAAAAAATACAGCAAGTCCAGTTGCCTTGACTTATTTTATTACAGATAGAACAGACTATGTGCAGTCATATGACTGCAGCATAAAACTCCATTAAAGGTATATAAACTTTTTTTTACACTGGATGTTGAAAATACATTACAAACATTATTTGCAGTATCGCATTTTACAGATTTTTTTAATTCAGGTGATACCTAATTTTCTGTAGGGATTAATTTTCCAGATGAGCCTTGTTTTAGATTAATCTCAGATGAATACTGAGCCAACATACTCTCCTGTGTGCACCTGAGAATTCAGGGGACATTGTTTTGATTATTATAAATGTACGTATGTGCGGCTGACACAACTGTATTGTGACAGAAAAATATCACACAGATTTTCCGTTACATAATATAATCCTTTTAGCATCAGATCAGGTGCAATTGAACTGACCCATTTACTTGATGGGTAAGTCTGAAACCTAAAGCCTGAAACCTTGGAGGAGGCCTAAACAAAGGAAAATAAACACGTAACCAGCTTATCATAACCTGCCAAATCACATATATCAATATATATTTATTTTATTTACCTCATCAGTAGTTCAGCTTGTAGATATTATTATCACAGAAATATCAGTTTAGCACAATATATACTTTTTCTTTTTCTCAGATTCACTTCATATAAATATGACACATTGATTTATTTTTGTGTGCACCATCATAACTCCATTTAGAGCCGATATCAACATAGACAGTTTATTAAAGTCTCAGATTTTTGTAACATAAAACAATAGTGTAATGTGCGCCTTACTGTAATCCATGGTTGTTTCCCTTCTCTTTGCTGCTCTTCCTTTTAAATCCTCATGTCTTCTCATGCTTGGGGAGAACTTCCCCTTGCAGCTGAGTGCCTCTTCCTGCAGTGCTGGCTCAACCTATACACAGACACCATGGGGGTGATTTACTAACCTAAACACACCCACGCACCAGGTGCGTGTGATTTTCACACAGCAAAACGTATTTATCAACCAAAAAGTCTCTAAAAGCATATTTCCACTAATGCCATATATGGAAAAATCATGCACATGATGCATTTATAATGCTGCTTCACAGTTTAGACAAAAATGGTTAGCTCATGCATTTACATTCCTGCATTCATCAACGCAAGCAACACAACATAGAGCTAATTTACACAACATCACCTTGCAATTCATGCAGGGCTTTGCACAACACACCTGCTGGGTGTGTACACACTACAAAGGTGTTTAGATTCCACCCATAGATCATGCTGGGAGGGAACACACTACAGAGGTGTATACATGTTCGTGGTGTGTTTATAAGGTTAGTAAATCAACCCCCGTGTATCCATTCCAGAGACAAGGCAGTCAGCTGCAAAGGGAAGTTCTGCCCAGCATGAGAAGAGATATGGATTTAAAAGGAAGAGCAGCAAAGAGAAGGGAAACAACCATGGATTACATTAAGGCGCACATTACAGTATTGTTTTATGTTAACAAATCTGAGGGTTTAATGTCACTTTAAGGTCTCACTTTCTGGCATCCACTGTGACTTTTATTTTTTTTTAACTCTGTGTAGAGAAAATAAAAATGGTACTAAACTCCAAGACAGAACAACTATCACGCAATTAAAGCATTGCATTTTTGTTTTTACAACTCAGTTGCTTCAACCAACATCTAAGAATTCTGACACCGTTGTTTGTAAAGAGAGTCTGGCTCATGCTTTTGCAATGATGTTTAATTGCAATTCTTCAATCGTTTTATTGAAGAAGTTCAGCTTTTTATTTTGTGATGTGTGATAATTGGATGTATTTCGTGCATTACAGCAAAAACTGTTCTTTATCATATGTATATTTTCCAAAATATTTGCGTAAATTGGCAATCAGACAATTTTGTATGAATTATTTCTCTCTGGATTGTCTGATCTGCCGGCTCTTCAGCTCCCTCTCTTTCTCTTCTTCCTTCTCATCTACGTTCTGACATTATGTTATATTATATTTTATTATATTGTATTATAATTTGAACTTTGACAATTCTAGTAAAACCTTTAAAAGCATCACGTTGTAACTTCTAATAGACTTTTATCTCACACAGGTTATTACAGATCACTGAACATATTTACTGTATATCCTATTTAATAATCCAACCACCCGGCATTCTGGTGTCAAGATTTAATATCTAAATAGCTTTCAATGCCAAACAAGATTCTCTTAACAATTGAAACATACAATATTGTATATTGTATCAAGCTGCTCTGTGAGCTGAAGCAAATTGTTTGGTAATAAAATAAACATGTTGTATACACTTCATATAAGGTGGTTAAAATATTGCAATGAGAAATCAGACAATACTAAAGGAATTCTTCCTCTCTGGACTGTCTGACCTCCCGACTCTTCAGGTCCCTCTCTTTATTTTCTTCTTTCTCATCTACCTTCTGACATTAATCTGGAATTTGCTGATCATCTCCCTCATAGTCACTGACTCTCACCTCCTCACTCCTATGTATTTCTTCCTTGGGAACCTGGCCAGTTTAGACCTCTGTTGTTCCTCAGTCACCGTCCCACGAATGTTATTTGACCTTCTCACCCAGAGAAGAAAGATTACCGCAACAGCTTGTATAACCCAAGTCTTCTTTTTTTTATTCCTTGCCACTTCTGAGAATTTTCTGTTGTCTGTTATGTCCTATGATCGATATACTGCTATTTGTCGGCCATTGCATTACATGCAGATCATGAGCTGGAAGGTGTGTGTACTTTTGGCATCCAGTGCGTGGTGTCTTGGGTTTACCAATTCTTTACTTCATACCTTTTATGCCTTAAGATTATCATACTGTGGATCACAGATTATAGAAAGTTTCTTTTGTGATCTGCCCCAGTTGCTTCAGATCGCTTGCAGTGACATCTACATTAACATTCTGCTCGTCTTTATCTTGGGTGCTGTATTTGCCTCTGGACCTATAATGATGACCATCCTGTCCTATGTCTCTATATTCAAAACTGTTCTAAAAATAAAAGGTAAACGGAGTAAAGTTTTCTCTACATGTACCTCTCACCTGACAGTGGTGTCAATATTTTATGGCTCCATTTTTTTAAATTATTTTCAGCCAAGTGCTAGTCATCACCTTACTGGTTACAAAGTGGTGCCCATCTTTTACACAGCAATCATTCCTCTCCTCAACCCTCTGGTTTATAGTCTTAGGAACCAGGATTTAAGGATTGCATTCCAAAATTGTGTAAAGAAGATCTTCGACGCAAGATAGAACTTATTAAGACTAAACCCTCCTACTTCCATAGAACTCTTGTTCTCATATGCTTATTGTTCAATGTGTTTCCTCATCCATGAAACAGGATGTATTAAAGAGTGCTTTGACCAATAGTACAGCGTTTTTATAATAGTTGCTCTTCAAGTGGAACTCCAGTAAAAACGTATTTCTACAGTATATACACAATATAGTTGAACCACCAAAGAAACCATGACACCACACCCCTAATAATTAGACAACAACAAAGCAGATTCAATTGGGCTTTTATTGTGTCACATCCGGAATTATTCAGAAATCAAGAAGTTCTTGCTGCACTCCTTACCGTAGTCAAAGGAAGACCCGTGTGGACGGGTGGGTGCTTGTAGTGGCCACGGATGGTGCAGTGAAGAAATACGATAAAAATAATAACGTCACCAGCACTCCAAGGGTTAATGAAGCAATAGTCAATTTATTGGCACATTGCCATTCAACTGCAAGCGCTTTCGGGGCCTCTAAGGGTCCCCTTTATCAGGCTCAGACCTGAGCCTGATGAAGGGGACCCTTGGAGGCCCCGAAAGCGCTTGCAGTTGAATGGCAATGTGCCAATAAATTGACTATTGCTTCATTAACCCTTGGAGTGCTGGTGACGTTATTATTTTACATCCGGACTTATCGGGACATCTACACATACAAATAACTTGCTCAATTATATAATTAATTTATAAGTATTTTATTAAAAGTACACATGATTTTAAGACATAAAAAAATCAGACTAAACATATTCCAACGTCAGAAATTGATCGCGAGGCAAAGAATCCCCATGTATCCCGCAAGCACATTGTGAACAATCTTAGCACAATTTTATCAATTTATTATCTCTTAACAGTGTCACTATATCATATATCATATTTCTTAGCCATAATCTTTCTCTTTATTTCATGCTACAATGTGCAGTGAGTCTAGCTTTCAACGTGTTTCACCACAGCGCCTTCAGGAAGTTGGGAGATAGCCTGTGATATATGTTGGAAAAATCTGAACATGGCTTTAGTCAGGCCACAGGCCTGGTGGTTATGGTCTTGTTTCTCTCAGTTCCTCTAACCTTTTGAAGTTAATCAACAAAAATGAGTAGATGTGTGAAAGTACAGTTTGTTATGTGGGAACAAGTAAGAGAGACTCTGGGAGACTCTGGGTTATCTTGCTCTATGTGAGCTAGTTATGACTAAATAATGAGACTGTCTTCTGGATATTTACAGAGTTTTGGATGTCTATATGGTTACATAAGTAGGGTTGGCTGGTATTAATGGTGAGGGGTATGTCAAACGTTAATCAGCTTCTTTCCTTTCTGCTGTTAAAGTGGCCCGTGCTGTATATACGTTTAATAGACATTGATTATACTATGACCGATTAAGACAGTGGAAAATTCTACAACACAACCAATATCTGTGCTCACAAGTAATTGATAACTCTTTAATTGTAGCTATTTTTTCTATTAGAAGAAAAACCTTTTGCTCCATCTGTTGGGAGGTGCGGAAGTCTCATTGAAAGTTACAGAATTTGCTTGTTTACAGTAATTGGCTCTTCAGGTTATGAAACAAAATATTATACACGTGCAGCGCAGGAGCGTGAACGCAGGAGTGAGAGGGGTGATTGGATTGGAGCAGAGCAGCTAAGTGAAAGGGGTGATGGGATCGGAGCAGAATGACTGAGTGAGATGGGTGATCGGATCAGTGCAGTACGACTGAGTGAGAGGGGTGATCGGATTGGAGCAGAGCGACTGAGTGAGAGGGGTCATCAGATCGGAGCAGAGCAACTGATTGGTAAGGCGATTGGTAAAGATGAGAAGACCGGAGGAGCAGGGGTGAGAGAGGGAGCTGAACAGTGCTGAGCGGCGCTGGTGTTGGGGACAGATCAGGTGGCTGAGCAAGAGTAAGAGAGAACGCAGTGGGAGCTAAGCGTTGAGCTAAACTGAGCTGGATGGAAATTTTGTGGATGGAAAGAGCGGTGTTGAGAGGGAGTTTTCGGGGCCACAGTAGAAGGGGGGCAGGCAGCACTGTGAGGAGAGGCGAGAGTGGTTTTATGGTTTGAGAGGGGTGGGCTGGTAATAGGATGGGGTGCTGGTGACAGGAGCTGAGTGGGGCTGTGAGTTGTGAATAGGACAGGCTGTTTAGCTGAAGGATTGTAAACTGAAAGCTGAGGGAAGAAAAACAGTAATCCATTAAGCAGGCAATGATGTGTAAGAGTGTGACTGTGAGTGGGCTGCTGCAGGCTAGACTGCTGACAGGGAATTGGGTACAATAACAAAAAAGATCTGTAATTCAAGTGTTGCAGTATTAGCTGCTGGGCATTGGTAGTATTAATCTGCTGGGGAATTACTGTGGTAATAACTGTGTTACTAATAACTGCTGGGCACCTAATCATCAGGCACTGTAGACGTATGCTTTGAAAACATTGATTATTGTTGGGCACTTGATGTGATACGGCAGTCATTTCACGTTATATCTGGGCCTTAATTACATTTAATAATTAAAAAAAAAATGTCTTCCATGGGTAGGAATGTAACCTGTTGCGCATGTATGCTTTTCTTGAACATGTGTTTGAGGGTAAATACTGTTGCTCTAGATGTGAGCTAGTTGTTTGTTTGGAAGTGCAGATTCTTAATCTAAACATGGAAAAGAGTCTGGATCTGACTCATCAGGTTCTGGTGGAGGGCGGTATAGAGGAGGAGGGGGGTTTGGAGGTGCAGATCCCGAGGTTGGTAGCTGGGTTAGAAGGCGGGGTAGAGGGAGGAGTGCAAGAGAGGCCAACCCTGAATTGATACACCCCAATAAATATGCTGATTGCAAGATGTTGGGGATATTAATTCAGGGGTGACATTGCTGGACCAGGACACTTCCCCTATCCACAAGGGGAATGACTGCTCCAGTAAGGATGGGAGCAGGAAGGATGGACAGGAGAGACAGATATTGGTGGTGGGGTATTCTATTATCAGACGGACAGACAGGTGAGCGTCAAATAGTCTGTTGCTTACTGGGGGCTCGTGTTCAACAAATTGCTGAATGGGTGGACAGGTTATTGGGTGGGGCCGGGCATGACCCAGCTGTCATGGTACCCATCGGCACCAACGACAAAATTAAAGGCAGAGTGTCCTAAAAAACGATTTCAAAGACATAGTTGCTAGGTAGTGTTTTCTGAGATATTTCCGTTGCCACGAGCCACTCCAGAGAGACAGCGAGAGTTGAGAGAACTGAACAAGTAGCTGTGGAACTGGTGTGAGGAAGAGGGCTTTGGGTTCTTGGAGAACTGGATTGACTTCTCAGTTGGTTACCGGCTGTACAGCAGACATGGGCTGTATGTACAGGAGAGGAGTGTGGGGGATATGACAGGGGGCAGCATGTACAGGAGAGGAGAGTGGGGGATATGACAGGGGACCGTATGTACAGGAGAGGCGAGTGGGGGATATGACAGGGGACCGTATGTACAGGAGAGGCGAGTGGGGGATATGACAGGGGACCGTATGTACAGGAGAGGCGAGTGGGGGATATGACAGGGGACCGTATGTACAGGAGAGGCGAGTGGGGGATATGACAGGGGACCGTATGTACAGGAGAGGCGAGTGGGGGATATGACAGGGGACCGTATGTACAGGAGAGGCGAGTGGGGGATATGACAGGGGACCGTATGTACAGGAGAGGCGAGTGGGGGATATGACAGGGGACCGTATGTACAGGAGAGGCGAGTGGGGGATATGACAGGGGACCGTATGTACAGGAGAGGCGAGTGGGGGATATGACAGGGGACCGTATGTACAGGAGAGGCGAGTGGGGGATATGACAGGGGACCGTATGTACAGGAGAGGCGAGTGGGGGATATGACAGGGGACCGTATGTACAGGAGAGGCGAGTGGGGGATATGACAGGGGACCGTATGTACAGGAGAGGCGAGTGGGGGATATGACAGGGGACCGTATGTACAGGAGAGGCGAGTGGGGGATATGACAGGGGACCGTATGTACAGGAGAGGCGAGTGGGGGATATGACAGGGGACCGTATGTACAGGAGAGGCGAGTGGGGGATATGACAGGGGACCGTATGTACAGGAGAGGCGAGTGGGGGATATGACAGGGGACCGTATGTACAGGAGAGGCGAGTGGGGGATATGACAGGGGACCGTATGTACAGGAGAGGCGAGTGGGGGATATGACAGGGGACCGTATGTACAGGAGAGGCGAGTGGGGGATATGACAGGGGACCGTATGTACAGGAGAGGCGAGTGGGGGATATGACAGGGGACCGTATGTACAGGAGAGGCGAGTGGGGGATATGACAGGGGACCGTATGTACAGGAGAGGCGAGTGGGGGATATGACAGGGGACCGTATGTACAGGAGAGGCGAGTGGGGGATATGACAGGGGACCGTATGTACAGGAGAGGCGAGTGGGGGATATGACAGGGGACCGTATGTACAGGAGAGGCGAGTGGGGGATATGACAGGGGACCGTATGTACAGGAGAGGCGAGTGGGGGATATGACAGGGGACCGTATGTACAGGAGAGGCGAGTGGGGGATATGACAGGGGACCGTATGTACAGGAGAGGCGAGTGGGGGATATGACAGGGGACCGTATGTACAGGAGAGGCGAGTGGGGGATATGACAGGGGACCGTATGTACAGGAGAGGCGAGTGGGGGATATGACAGGGGACCGTATGTACAGGAGAGGCGAGTGGGGGATATGACAGGGGACCGTATGTACAGGAGAGGCGAGTGGGGGATATGACAGGGGACCGTATGTACAGGAGAGGCGAGTGGGGGATATGACAGGGGACCGTATGTACAGGAGAGGCGAGTGGGGGATATGACAGGGGACCGTATGTACAGGAGAGGCGAGTGGGGGATATGACAGGGGACCGTATGTACAGGAGAGGCGAGTGGGGGATATGACAGGGGACCGTATGTACAGGAGAGGCGAGTGGGGGATATGACAGGGGACCGTATGTACAGGAGAGGCGAGTGGGGGATAT